AAAAAAAATTTAATTATATAAATATAGACCCCTAAAATTAAAAAAAAAAAATTGCTAAAAATAAATATGAAAAATAAAAAATTAGTTCAACTATTTTGCATTCAAACTTGCACTTGATATGTCGCATTCTATTCCTATTTGAATAAGCTCCATTTCCCACTGCATTTCTCTACTGCAGCAGGGCTCATTACCGCGTGTCCAAAACTCTGCTAATTGGCTAAAACTTGCAGATACTGCATGTTAATTTGCCTAACTATCGGTACGTCCCACATGAGGGCCTGGCCCACTAGCCCTGCCCCGCACCAGCTACAGCTTCCAAAACTTTGCCATTAAAACAAAGCAAATACGTAGCTAAAAGGCAACGGGTAAAATTAAAATGCATAGCAAAACAGGAAAGAAGCAAAAGAGTAAAGCAAAAAAGTAAAATAAATAAAACACACGATTGCAATGAAATGGTTGGTTGTTGTTGCTTTTAAACAAATAAGGAAAATGCACATAAAGCTACAACAATAACAACAACAGCAGCAGCAGCAGCAGCAATACAAATGCCACTTAGCACAGCAATAACAACAACAACAACAACAGCAAGTATAAAGAGATCATGGGAAAATTGCTTTTATTTTCGTTTAATTTAGGTTTTATCTCTATTTATTTTATGTAGCTCGCTTTTCGCTACTTCAAATCTCTGCAAAAGCAGCGTCAATAAATAGTTTGCACTGTTTTGTTGTTTACAGCTTGATTTAAAATTAAAATTAATTTCAAACGCAGCAGCAAACATTTTTATTTATTGCGGGCAATTTTCCAAAATAAACAATTCAGCGAGAGCAGCAGATAATCAAGGTAAATGGAATTTAATGCGAAAAAGAGAGACAAGTTTAGATGGGGGAAAGAAAGGCAATCCCCAGCAACAAATTGCGGTGATATAATGTATGGATAAAGAGTATTTCAGCTAAAATATGCGGGATAGTGCAACCTTCGCCAAGAATTGAATCAGTTTATGTTTGTACTTTTCTCATTAAAAAGCGTATTATGGTATTAGATATTAAACATCTTTAATAAACATCTATTGAAACATTTAAAAATAAATTGAATTATATTCCTCTCTTCATTAAATCTCGCAATACGATCTCACATAATCTTTAAATTTGTCCAAGCATTTTCTTTTTACACTTCAAGACCTTCAGTATTTCATCGAATATTCAAAGCGAACATTTTTCCAAATTTGGGCATCTCTAGTTCAGACACCCACACGTATTAGCAAAGACAACAACCAGCCAAACTAACCATGAACAAAATCAAGTCATTGAGCAGTGAGGCCATTGGCTGTCTTCCTCATTAGAGGTCTCTATGGAGTTGACTTCTTTATCCACTTAATACACTTACTTGCGGTTGAAATTGTGGAAATAGTGTTTCAGTTGGAGACATTATTTTTAATTTAAAATGCATTTAACATTTGAAATATTATAAAATTATTCAAATAATTACTTGAATTTTATATAGTTCTTATAACTTATTTATAAATATTTAAAATTGTTTTATAATTTTGTTTATATTTTGTTTTACTTTTCATCGTGTTTTTAATTATATGCTTAATTTTTATACATACGCTAAATTTATTTAAATAAGTATATTCAACGATAATTTCCTATTATCAGCTAGACAATAGATAATGTATTCCGTTTTATTTATTGAATTCACTTCAAAGCATATTCCAATTTGCGCGCACACATACGCGCATTCTCCCGTCTGTTTATGTATTAGTTGACATGAGAACTGGAATCAATAACACCTTGTCAATGTAATCAACTTAATCAATTAGATGTGCGATGAAAGGCAGTAGACAGCCTCATTTACAGTCTAATTATTTAATTTGATTTTTGCATAAATTTCAAAATGATTGAAAATTTTGCGAGCTGATGATGATGATAATGATGATGTTGATTGGAAGACCTGTCAATGAAGCGCATTGCTGTGCCCACTGTCAGCCGTTGATTTCCACGGGGAAAATCAATCGCGCGTGAAATGTAGCGATGCTTAATAATTACAGGCGACGTGACAGCAATCACGACAGAGAGAGAACAGAGGAGAAGAGAGAGAGAGATGCACATAATGAGGGGGGTGGCGAGGTGAGCAAAAGGTAGCAGCAATCGAGAGCCTGCGGGTTGACTAAGACTGCCACCAAAGTTTGCAGTTTTTTTTTTTTTTCTTCTTGTTTCTGCTTCTCTGCACTTTGACAGTGATTGAAATCAATATTGATTTTTTATGCTGGAAATCGGATATGTATATACTCCCGCTATAATGATTCGATATTAATTGAGCGAGCATGCCTAGCGGCACGCTGAAATCTTTTAAAAATGCATTTGCATAATTAAAATGGAAAAGATGGCAAAATGTTCGTGAAATAAATATCAGAAATATGAAAAGTTTATAAAGCATCGAGATTCAACCTCACAAATCAATCAAAAGCGCACCGAATAATGTCTTTAAATGAAGAAATACTCAATACCATGATGCCTACATATCGAATTTATTATTATTCAGTTTTGACAAGCGAATGCTATTGAATATGACAAAATATGAAACACAACAAACAATAACCATAATAATAACAATAACAGCTAATCAATGGCAGCCTTGAAACCGATTCAGTTTTTTCTCTCTTTCGGTTTATTATTATTATTTTTATATAT